TTTTTTAGTGTGGGCTTTGGTGTATACACCGCTCCTTACTCGGTGTCTGATGAAAATCCTGCGTGGTTCAGGACCCCACAGTGGCCGCTTTATAGTTGGTGGGGATACGGATATAGTGCGCCCAGTCAATGGAGAAAGCAACCTATTCAGTTACTGATGAAAAGGATTTTTTGATATAGAATGATGTATTGCAGTCATTAAAGTACCGAGTGCTTTTGTAGATTCTCCGCCGACCCGGTATGTACAGTAGTCCTGAAGGATCAGGGTTGGGCGGATGGTTTTCGGTCCCCATTATGTACATTTGGTTAAAAAGCAGCAGACAAAAAAATTCATGACACATAATGTCCCAAGATTCCAGGCCTAGGAAACAGCAAGTCGTATGTAAAGAGCAGAAGAGTGATATCAAGGCTATGTGAACTCCGCTAAACCTCCAATGGAATGTGAACGCCGTGGTATATGCAAAGAGAGGAAATCAGATCTCGGGATGGAATCATTGCGCAGAAGTCGTGAGGGAGGTCTGGAGAGCCTGCGAGATGGCTTCCTCCTGGCGCTTCCGCTCCATCTCCATGAGGTACTGTGCGTATTTGGAGCGGGGGTTGTGGATGCCACACTCGGTCTTGGCCTGACCCTTCCAGCGCCCGGAACGCTCATCCTCGTTCTCCCTAACGGGCTGGGTGGAGTGGTAGTCACCGATGCTCTTGTAGCCACGGTCGAGGAGCTCATTGTAAGGAACGTTGTTCTCCTTGACGTACTGCTTGACTTGATCGAAGGACCAGTTGGCGAGAGGGTTGATCTTGATCAAGCCAGCCTCGTCAACCTCAATGATGTCGATATCACCACGCTTGCCACCCTGGCTGCGGCGGCGGCCAGTGAGGACGGCGTGAACGTTGAGTTCCCGGTAGGCACGCTGGGCGGGCTCGACCTTGGCAGCCCAGTCGTAGAACTGGTCGTCTTTCTCCCAGAGGCGGGGACCGTGCTTCTTAGCGAAGTCCTCCTCGGTCTCACAGCCCTGGGGCTTGTAGACATGGATGGTGTTCAGAGGGTACTTCTCACGGACGCGGTCGACCAGAGCCAAGGTCTCGGGGAAGTGGTGGAGGGTATCGAGGAAGATCAGGTCGACCATCTGAGGCCGGGGCACAGCCAACTTGGACAACATATCGATAGTGACCAGACCAGTCAAGCCAAAGGCAGTGGTCTGGTAAAGGTGAGGCAGTGAAGTGACACACCATCTCAGGACGTCTGCATCGCTGTTGTTAGTTACTTGGTCCAGGGCGATCTCGGAAGGACTCGGACTGACCTTGAGGCTCGAGGAACTGCAATTGTCTGTTGAGGAACTTCAAGTGTGGCTTGGTGAAGACAATCTCGGGAGAATAGTCATCACTTGAGCTGCCACTGACATAGCCAGAGTCTCTGGAGTCAATGGCCTCGCCATCAGAGGGGTAGTTGTCAGACATCTTGGCAGGCATCTTGACTAGGAGTAGTGCTAATATAGAGAGAGGGGCAAGAGCGATAGAAGTTAAGTAATGGAATTGAGGAAAAGACGAAAGTAGACAAGTCTATTTGTATGATAATGAGAAAGGCCTGAAGAAGTATGATTCGGATTAGGCGAGAGAAGGGATAGGAGGCGAGGGATGATGTAGACAAGACACAACAGAGGACGAACTCGAGGACTCCGATATAAGAGGGACCAGGCAGGGGCAATCACGACATCATCGGGAAAACGGGGAGTCCGTTCTCCCTTTCGCCCTCTTCCCTTCATACTTGCTGGGCCATTCTGCAGGGCTCGCGATCACGACATCGCCTGTGACCGCTTGCCCGATGGGGAGAAGGGCAGAAAAAATCCTTCTCTCAGCTTCTGGGGAAATCACGCAATACTTGCACTGCCGGTGCCTGCGCTTCCCCGGACCGGCTTATCTCAGCCGTTTTGGTCAGCCTGCCTGCTGATAAATCGCGAAATCCGAGGAGGAATCCGGGTTGTCTCACTTGGCTGATGGAACTTTCGGCAGAGAGAGACGATTAATCATAATTAAATTAATCAATCATGTTCCATCAATGTACTCCGTTTCCCGCCAGCAGGTGCAGGTCTTTCCAAAGTGTCAAGGATCAAGGACACCTTGCTCCCCGTAAGCTGTGAAAACGAATTAGCGTCGAACGAAGAAGAATGATGATAAATGTAACAGACCAACCCTGACCTTCCATGATTATCCACCGATCGATTTACATGTGCTCAAGTACTGTATGGAGTTAGTCATGGTGGGAGACGCCTGTGGTTTGTTGTTTTGCATAGCAAACATCTGATCTACCCCACATCATGAGGCAAAGATGATAGTGATGATGATGATGTTTGCCTGTCACTGAATGAAGGACCCATCATAATTTCTGCCGGGCGGTCAATTCCACCAACTGGCATCCTGTCCCCACGGCTCATCATGTGACATTTCTCCCCACGTGCCCGCCGATCCCCAATGGATGCTGCAGGGGAAAAGCGACCGACGAACCTCGACAACGGCTTGCCAGCTTTTTTCTTGACTTGTCCGCCTTGTTGCTATCTTTGCTTCTCCAGGGTTGCATTCCCGGCTGGTGGGCTGTCTTGATCGTCTAGGGCCTTCCATCACCTCTCCACTCCACTTTGTGCCAGCCTACCTTCTCCGCGCATCTAATCTCCTTAGTCCCGAGATATCAACCGCTCCTCAACAATGGCCTCGCCTAACCCCGCCAACTCCCGTCCAACCCGGCCCGTGTTGCGACAGACACTTTCCAGCAGCTCCTTCATTCAGGATCACCAGCAATACAAGCCGTCGGTTCCCATCCAGACTATTGGCAATGTGATTGGAAATGCTGGAAATGCTGGGTCTGTTGGGGATGTTCCCGAGTCCTCCTTCGCATCCTTGTCGCTCAAGGCGAATCCTATCAGTCCCGACCCCGAGAAGGTGACTGAGAGCGGCATCATCCACAGCATGTTTCACTCCCACGCCAACCCTCTGCAGACTGGTACTGAGCAACTGGTCGCGACTATTTTCTACAAATCTGCGGATCCCATTCACCCTCACCTACACCCCGACTCCTCCCCGCATGCTAAGCCGGGAGATACGCTGCCCTCGCCCACCGTCCCTGTCGGTTCTGCCCCGACCATCGACATCGAGAAACTCCCCCGCGAGCCTCCTGCGCCGGAGCCCGAGCCTCTCGACCACTTGTACGGCCCATTTGTGTCGCAACTATGCCTGACCAACTTCCTTCAGATTATCGAGTCTCTTCCGACACCCTACCAGCGCACGAACACCTCGCACCGTTGCCTGGAGGCTAACGAGCATCCTCGGGTGGTGGAAGTCACTTTCTCCCCACCCCCCAACCCGGAATACCTGACCTTCGCAGATCTTCGCAAACATGAAAGCATCTGGCGTTTCGAGCGGGAGTGGAATGTCGAGGTCGTGCTTCAGCGGGAGAGTGTCTTCCGTCGTCACAAGCGCCTCTTCGTCTTCGATATGGACAGCACACTGATCCAGAACGAAGTCATCGATGAGATCGCCAAGTTCATCGGTGTCGAGAAGGAAGTTTCGGTCAGTCATGGTCGCATGCCGTGGTTCGGAGAAATCTTGTACTGACTGAGCCGACAGGAAATTACGGCCCGTGCTATGAACGGTGAACTCGACTTCTCTGCATCCTTGAAAGAGCGGGTCTCCCTGCTGAAGGGTGTCCCCGCAGACGTCTTCGAGAAGCTGAAGTCGATCATCACCATCGCCCCTGGCGCACGCGAGCTGTGCAAGGCCTTGAAGACTCTTGGCTGCAAGATGGCAGTTCTGAGCGGAGGTTTCCAGCCTCTGGCGGAGTGGCTTGCTGGCGAGCTTGGCCTCGACTATGCTTTTGCTAACCATGTACGTGACCTTGATCTTCATGACTTCGGCCCGGGTGGCACAGCGACTGACCTTGCTAGCTTGAAATCGACCCCACCACACAAACCTTGACAGGCAAGCTGGTGCCATCATACCCGATCATCGATGCGGCCCAGAAACGCACGCTTTTGCACTCGATCGCGGAGCAGAACGGAATCCCGATTTCTCAGGTCGTTGCTGTGGGCGACGGTGCCAATGACCTGCTCATGCTCCACGCGGCTGGGCTTGGAGTTGCCTGGCGCGCCAAGAGCAAGGTCCAGCTTGAGGCCCCGACTCGTCTCAACGGAGAGAGCCTCGTAGACATCCTGTACCTGCTTGGACTCAATCGGGATGATGTCAAAGAACTGCTCGTATAGTTCGGTCACAACACAAGGCCTGGAGTCTGTAAATACTGTCCATGACCGAACGATCGAATGGACCATCATTTCCCCACCAACTACTCGGCAAGGAACACATGGAAACGATACATTGAAGAGCGAATTTCCTCATTCTTAGACTTTCTCGCTCAGAATTCTCCACGCAATAATCTCGGTTGATTTTTCTTCTTGATTATTTCCTTCCAATTCCTTTTTTTTCTTTGCTTTTAGCCCGGGGCTCGGCTTGAAAATACCCATCCAACCGGGTCTCTGTCATGCCATCATCAAGCCACGCTTATGGAGAGTTATGAGTTAGAACGAACTCGTCAGATTGATTACATTGTGGTTGGAGTGAACCAGGAAGGAAGTGGGTACATACCAAGGCATGCAGCGGAAGGCTGCAGCACCACGGATTGGTTAATTGAACGGCCAATTAGGATCATTATGCGAGTCATAATGCTCGATTTGATAGCTTGTTGATACGTTGACAATATCTCATTGAAATGAACATACATGTATGGAAATTATGTTTGATTGACAGCAACCAACCCCATCAGCCGATCAGCCGGGATTGAAGTTTTAGGGTCTATGTAGAAAGTAGTAGTAGCATAGCACAACACACCCCGTATGGAAACCAGGTACCAGAATAGTCGAATGTGAAACCGAGACCGGAAACAAATCATGCTAACCCTACGCCGAAGGAAACCGATATATCAAAAGCACACACAAGAAAGAAAACGAGACGCTGTTGGAGTTACCGAGCGATTTCGTCAACGGGGACCTTCTTCTCGACGGGCTCCGCGCCCACCGTACCCCCGGCGCGCCTCTTCTTCAGGACATTCTCGATGAACGCCTCGCCGGCCTTATAACTGCTGCGGACCAACGGGCCGGACGCACAGTACAAGAAGCCCATCTCCAGGGCCTTCTGGCGCCACATCTCAAAGCGATCCGGCGTGACATACTCATGGACGGCCATATGTCTCTTGGTGGGGCGCATATACTGGCCAAACGTGACGACATCCACATTCACCCCGCGCAGCTGCCGCAGGGCATCGGCGATCTGCTCGTCCGTCTCCCCGAACCCGAGCATCAACGAGGTCTTGGTGATGAGATCGGGGCGGGCCTGCTTGGCGGCGTCCAGGACGCGCAGACTCTGCTGGAAGGTGGCGCGGCGGTCGCGGACGAAGGGGGTGAGCGCCTCGACGGTCTCGACGTTGTGGGCGTAGACATCCAGCCCCGAGCGGGCGACCAGCTTGACCATCTCCAGATCACCCATGTAGTCGCCGGTCAGACACTCGACCAGAATACTGGGGGCCTTGGCCTTGATCTTGATGACGGTCTCGGCGAAGTGGCGGGCGCCGCCGTCGGCCAGGTCGTCGCGGTCGACGCTCGTGAGCACCACGTACCCGAGCCCCCAGCGGCTGATCGCCTCGGCCGTGTTCTCGGGCTCGTGCGGGTCCAGCGGCGGCGGCCGCCGCAGCGTCTTGACGCTGCAGAACCGGCACCCCCGCGTACACGTATCGCCCATCAGCATGATCGTCGCCGTCGCCGCCGCTTTGTCGCCGCCCCCCCAGCAGTCCGAGATGTTCGGGCACCGCGCCTCCTCGCACACCGTGTGCAGGTTCAACCCCCGCAGATCCTTCTTCAGCCGCTGATAGTTCTTCGAGTCCGGGATCGGTGTCTTCAGCCACGACGGCAGCCGCGTCATTTCCTTCTTGCGGCCCGCGGGGCCAACGAGGGCGGTCTTCAATGCGTACGCTTCATTCGGGTCGGCGATGGTGTCGGCGGCGGCGTCGCCGGAGACAAAGTCGGAGAAGGAGGGGCCCGAGTTCAGGCGGTCGGTGAAGGTGGTGCGCCGGCGTGGGGTCGTCGTGGTAGTGGTGCTGCTGCTGCTGCTGCTGTCGGTGGCGGAGGACGGCTCGGTCGTGGCGTAGCTGCGGGTGAGGAATGTGCTGCTGGGTGAGGTGGTGGTGGTGGCGGTCGTCACTCGTCGGGACGAGCAGAGGAGCCGTAGGCGGTTCGTGGAGGGAGCTGCCATCACCGAGGTTTGTGTATGTGGTATCTCTGTTTCTGAAGCAAAGAAGAGGGAAAGAGAGGAAGGCCTAGAAGAAGAGCACTGGTAGGTAGTTTCGATTCCGCGGGAAACATTCAAGCTGATATCGGAGTTCGGCTGCGGTTCCGCCGGCGGCTGACTCAGGATGGCCGCTGCATGCCCACTAAACCCCTTCAGGACGCAAGGTGCATTGCCCTAGTTTAGTGGTGTTCTTGCTGATTAATTGATCACTCCCTGGTAGTCTTCCCGGCAGTATTCAGGGTGTCTATACTCTATAGAGGATTATAGTTGCCTTATAGCACGGGAGTTAATGTTTGTGACATGTTTCAGGTTGGCAGGGTATCATTAGAGTCTAGGTACTGGGGACAACTAGAGATTATACATCAACCGTAGCGGCTATTAGAGTGAAATCATGGGCAGATCAAAGAGTAGCAGACGTAAAGAAATTAGACGGTGACAGGCCATAGGCGTGTGATGGCAGGCCACCGGGAGGATTCGGTGTGAGTGAAGTGGGACAAAAGAATGGCAGTAATGCAATTCGACATGAAAATGACAGAACGAGTGGTATAGTCAGGAACACTGGCTCATCGAGGAAATGGGGAGGTATGAAAATATCTCAAATGGGTTGTGGGAATAAGGGGGATCGGTGCGTTAAGAAGGAAAAGACAGCAAGGAAAAAGGTTGAATGAGTGACCGCCTAGTTTTTCGTTTCGAGCACTTGGGCGAGAACAAGTACGGCGCTTTTCAGATGCTCCTCCGCCTGTCCGCATATAGCGAAGAGCATTTTTTCGACAATCCTATCCAGGTCCTTGCGAAGCTGCATGCTGCGTGTTTCGAGAACCTGGCGTGATGGGGTGGTGTGATTGGTAGTCCCTGACCCTGCGGTGGCCTTTTCCGGGACTGTGTCCAGCCGCGATCGTTGGTTGAGCTGACTCTTCCTCTGGTGGGTAGTTGCCAAAGAGACAACATAGTTCCGTGCAATCAGAGCGGCACATAAGCCATCCAGCAGGTTTTCAGCAACGTTGGGGAAGATGGTGCGGAAAGGCCGCAAAAGGGCCCTCTCATTATTATGGCGAAGAAACATAATGACGGGTGATGTAAGGCGGAGCATGTTCCGTGGGAAGTCTTTGACAGACAGCTCCAGCTGGTCGATAGTCCATTCGTGATCCCACCATTTCTCCAGCTCTTCCTTCTCCGACTTGGCGGAGGTTGAGGAACGGCCGGGCGATACCTGGACGGACGCAGCAAACTTTGGTGGTACCTCTGGCTTGGGTGGCGATTTGGGTAGTTCCGGGCTGGGAGCCGACTTGGTGTCGATCATGGTCTCACCAACAGTCTCGGAAGCGACAGAGCTGATGTCTGTGTACGCATCATCGTCGTCTTCGTCTTCTTCATCATCGTCCTCGTCCTTCTCAGCTGGAGCCTTGGTGCGGGCATAGTCGTTAGGTGAATAGCATGAGTGATGTGTGATATATCCGCTGTCGGACATCTCCAGAGGCGTTTCGGGACTGAAGGCTGATATCTCTTGCTGACCTTGATCAGGAGTGGATGGAATAGGATGTTGTGGCGTTGGAAGCGAGTAGCTCATTGCTGGGGACGACTGGCGTGATATATCAACCAACTTAGGTTTCGTCTTGGTTGCTACCGCGTACATCTGTTTCAGGGTCAGTTTCATGCCACTCGTGATCTGAGAGAAGACTCACTGCCGGTCTAGCTGCTTTCAATTCAACTTTCCGTGGAGGAGGTGGAGGGCTTTTCTGCACAATCTGTATCCTTCGTCGATTCAGCTCCTTGAGCCTCTCGCCCTGGCCTTCTGCGCCCTCCACTGGCGCACGCTGGAGCCAAGGTTCCCAATATGACAAGCTGCTGGGAGCCCAACTTCCATCACTAGACACCGTCCCTGATCTGCTCCTGCCTGCGCCAATGGATGAGCTAGAGAAATTCCTTTTTCCAATCGGTTCATAATCGGAATAAGGAGCTGGTGATGACATGCGCTCCGAGTAGGTTGAAGCAGGCGTCAATTGCCCATCGCTAGTTTCGCATTGTCTGGCTAGATGTGAGTGCGCCATGCGTACACGCGGGGTCCCTTTGACGTCTTTTGGAGCTTGTCGTGGTTCACTTTGAGGAGAGGTGTAGCAATCGCGACACGATTCTCTGCCTGCAACGCAGCCACAGCCATTGGGACTCTTTTGGCTGTAGTCCGATTCCGATTCCGGCTTTGGCGAAAAATAGAACGAAGGTGAGTCGTGTGGTGACCTGGTGTCTGACAGAGGCGGGCTGGGCAGAAGACCAAAAGATTCGATGCTCGTGACTCGGAGATTCTGATCTGAACGCCATGGGCGAAGCGTCCTAGTCTTGGATGGTTTTCGAGACAATGGGGACTCTTTGCCACTTGCAGCAAGACTCTCCGTGGAAGGAGAGGACGGCAGACGCAGCTCAAAGGGCTGCTTCATCTTGCGCACCGAGCGGAAAGGGGACATGTACACAGGAGGGCGTTCCGAACTGGTCCGTGGTTGCGCCGTGATATATTCTGGTTGTTCAATGCGGGGCGATGACGAAGGAACAAATGACAATGAGCTCGGGGCCTGCTGTCTCTTCCAAGGTTGGATATTGGGCGAGTACCGGGGCGACGACGATTTGTTACCTCTCACATTGAGAACTTGATTCGGTACACTGTAGCTTGGTACGCTCCTGTTGACAAATGTTGGAAGATTTGCAGATATTGCATGGTGGTAATTGTGTTCTTGCAGATGAAACTGCATCTTGACGGAATGGCCGTCCGTCGAAGACATGGCTGCTAGGTCAATATGGATGAGCAACGAAAGCTGAATGGTCAGTCAGATCTAATGCCGTTCATTAACGGCAATCACAGAAAGGGAACGGAAGGAAAACCACAGCATGAGCGCTGAAGCGGCCCACCAGACCTTATACCAGGGCTTTAAATCGGTTCAAGTATCCCTTGACTGCCTTGCGGTGACAGGGAAAAAGACATTGGGCATGCGAGTTTCGCCCCCTGTGGGAGGGTCGTCTAACACTCTGGAACATGAGTGAAGAGTGAAGGGCCATTACGCCCATTTCCTTGCATACCAGAGAGAGGTGGGATCGAGAAGTAGGCACAGTCATTGGGCCAAGGTCCGGAGGTGCGCCACCTGCAGGCACAGGGCAACGTGGGTGGTCCGCTCTCTCTCTCTCTGGGTTTGCATATCGTCTATTAGAAAGGAATGAGACATGCAGAAGGAGGGCGCCTGTGCCAGTCCTTTGGCGAACGTCACAAGATCCTCTGTGCGGCTGTCTAATCAACATAGACGTTGCGCCGGGCAATCTCAGGTTGCCGGCCCCTGGAAATAAGCCCCTTGCATCGGTTGCCGTAGGCGCAGCCCTTAGATTGGCCCATGCTGCCTCAACGCTGAGCGCAATTAAAGTAGCAGGTGGGAGGATTCCAGCTTGACTGCGGCGGGCGGAGATCGCAGATTGGCTTAGATGGTCTAGAGATACCATTTGGAGGCCAGCAATTCCAAGTGTGCCACCAAAAGTTCTTGGAGGTGGTGAAGCTGCGCGCAGCTATACACGCTATTTTGGCAGTGGTTGTACAGGAGTCGTAGATCCCAAGGAGCTCGCTGTGCTTGTTCCAGATTCGTCAGTAACGAGGGATACTAGGGGAGCTAGGAGACCAACAAAGGGACTGTCGCTCACCCAGGAATCACCCAAGGAGGGAGGAAGATGAATGAGATCATGAGATGTTGTTTGTACAGTACGAAGTCCAGTACGAGGAAGCACAGGGATAATGAGCCTCCTTATACTGGCTGACATAATCACTAAGCACATGCATAAGTTGGTTATTTTGAACCAAGCAAACAGTGCAAACCAGCCGGTTATCGATTGGCGTATCTCAAAAAAAAAGTTCGGAGAAGAGCGATAGAGAGACGTTGACTTGAGATCTCCCATTCGTGCTCCAAGTTCCTTGCGTGGATCGATACGTTATGCTCTCGGAGTGTTTTATTGCGTCGACTGTGGCGTCGGGGAAGACCCCGGCGTCTGCTAGTCTGAGAGATGTCGGAATCTGCGTGCACGAGTTTCAGCCCACGCTTAATCTGCGCTCCACCTTCAAGAAGAGCTCGACGGCGGCCAATTGCCTGGCCGTGAGCCCGTCGCATGTGTTTGCTGCACAGTCGGAGAAGGCAATTGTCCACGTATATAGCAGGGAGAAGGGCAACCAGGAGGCCACAGTCCCCTTCCCGGAGCGCATACGTAGTATCGCGCTCGCTGGGGGTAAGAATGGGGATGTCGTTGTTTTGGGCACAGAAGGTGGCCGTCTTATTTTGTGGGAGGTGAGTCGTGCTTGAGTCTCATTTATGATTTCTTGCTTAGCTTGTTGCTAAATGGGCGCCTTGTCAATCAGACATGCACGGGTCGACAAATAGCAACCACCGCATCCCATCTGCGGCCGGTAACCTCCCTAGTGGTCGACCCTACCTCCAACTTCATTCTCTCCGGCTCATCTGATGCGAGCATCCACGTCTGGTCGCTCGTCGACCTCCTCTCTTTCACAAAACCTCCGTCTGGTCGTGATCGTCAAGCTCCGAATTCCCCGATCCGTACCTTCTCGAACCACCGCGCCGCCATCACCTCTATCGCCGTGGGCCACAGCGCCGGCAGATACAACATTGCCGTTTCAATTGCGGAAGACAGCACTGCGATTGCATGGGACTATCGCACCGGCCGTCTTTTGCGCACATTTCTCCTGTCAGCCAATGCAACATGCCTGACCCTCGACCCCGTTGACCGAGCGTTCTATGTCGGCTATGCAGATGGCAGCATCCAGTCGGTCGACTTCTACAAGAACCAATCCATCCAACATCCGCTTCACGACCCCTCTCTGCATTCCACTCCCGTTCAACCATCCGCCGAAGACCGATGGGCACCCCCCTCTGCCGACAGCGGGGCCGCGCACACGCTCACGCTCTCTTATGATGGAATGACGCTACTCTCCGGCCACCAGAACGGAAAGGTCCTATCCTGGAACGTAGGACGGAAGAAGTACGCGTCAACCGTGGCGGACTACACGCACCCGATCACGAACCTCATCATGCTACCTCCCAATGGTCTCTCGTACCCGTCTCTCGACCTCACCCGTATGTCCCACACCATCGTCAAACCCCGCTACGATCACACATTGTCCGAATCCTCCCAGCCGTCGGGAACCGTCCCGGCCGACTACACCTTCAGCACGCATCTCCTCCCCCCCAGCTTCTCCACTTCCTCCTCCAGACCCAACCAATTCACCGAAGCCTTCACGCACGCCTACTTCCCCGAATCGATGCTGGAGGAAGGTCTCGCCGAACTGGCCGCCTTCGACCAGGGCTCCACCGGCAATGCCGGAAACAGTGGGATCACCGACGAAGAAGCCTTCGCCAAGGACGCGCAGATCGCCCAGCTGGAAGGCGACCTGGCAATCCTAAAGAAAAAGGCCTCGATCAACGAAACCGCCCGCCAGTCCACCACGGACGAGGTGACGCAGCTGCGCGCCGACCTCGCCAACCTGCACGACTACATCAACGAGCTGCACGGGAAGCAGGAGCAGGCCCAGCGCGAGAAGATCCTCCGCCAGGCGCGGAAGGAGGAGCGCGAGACCCGGCGCCGGGAGGCGTGGTTCGCCGCGGAGAAGAAGGGGAAGAAGGGCGACGCCGTGCTGAAGAAGATGGATGCGGAGGATACGGTCATGACGAGTGATACGGACGACCAGAGCAGCGATGACCAATGATCTGCTTTTCTGTGCGGTTATTCAATTTTTTTCTGAGATATAATCTTCTTCTTCATTCCATTCGGGAGTATCTATCGTGGAAAAGGCGCACCGGGAGGTTCTAGTTTTCAACGGTTCCTAAAAAGTGTATCAACTGGATCATTTGCCCTGAATCCTGTACCTGTATGTAAATATAAATCAAGACGGCTGGTGAGTACAGCTTCATGGATTCAGTATAGCCCACCAAGTCCACAAAACCACATTACCGTGGACACACCCTCGAATACACCAGTCCCCTTCTTGCCCATGCCCATGCCCATGCCCATGCCCCACGAAGTATACCGGTACACCATCTTCAGAATCAAGAACAAAGCCCCCTAAGTTTAAACACCGAAAGATGAAACGCCACATATAAAATTAATTCCCAGCAACCCAAAATCCAAACCCCGGTCCCGAAATCCCCATCCGTCCCGGACCCTCCCTCCAACCCCCAAGGAATGTATCAGCCCACATTTGGTATGCATGCAAGTTACCCTACCCCCATCTACCCTACCCCCTTTATTTCCCCTTTGCATCCACACCCCGGGTAAATCCGCAACAATGAAAGGATGCGGATCCGTTGCATGATAACCCTGCCCTCATAGAACCATGAAACGTAAATAAAGCATATTTCCTGTTTCAAATTCAAACACTGATAAAGATAAAGTGCTTCTTAGGGGTGCAGTATAGCTAATCCACTTACATACGAGTGCCGAGTAGTAGTGCTGATGAGATGGGATGTTGTTAGCTGGCGGCACTAGGTTTATGCCTGGACGGCATGGAAAGGCTGCTTTATGCGGTATTGTACCGTTATATGCTGTGTCTTCCTGGATGAGGTTGCCGTGGGTGATTGAGTGGTGGTTGTTCCGAAAAGGGACTGGAGGTTTTTGACTGCATTGGGTTTACTCGCGAAGTATTGCCGGCGCGAGTGTAGGAGACAACCGGAAAATAAGGTGGTAAGAGGTACGGTGCTACCTGGCTATTTTTTGGACATCGAGACAAGTCAAATATCCTTGAACATACGCGATGGGTTTCTGGTTTCATAAGGACGAACCATTGACCAGTAAGTATAAACCGAGCCAAGGATATCAAGTAAATTTGCAACATGTGTGAGTCATTAGGCAGGGATAACACCCGGAATCTACAAGCGAAGCTGGAAGGGGCCAACCATGCAGGATACGCTATCCGATCTCATCCCACACCATCGGCGCCAATGTATTATCCGTCCATGGAGTGTTATCACTAGTCCCTGTGTTTTCGTCCAGTGGGAAGGCGAATACGGCGCCGGGTACCGAGGCGGTTGCAGCTGCAGCTGCATTAGATGAGCTTTCTAGTAAGCCCTGAGGCGGAGCAGGCGGGGGGAGAGCAGGGTCGATGGGTCCTAGGGTGGACTGGCCTGGGAGATCGGATCGTTTTTCTTGGGGCTTGGAAGGCTGTGCACCCTGCTTACTGCCTGAGCTCGTACCGTCGTCATCTCTCGCGTCGGAAGCCTCCTTCCCCTGGTCGTGGAGGGTTCGACCGCTCACAGAACCTCCGTCGCGGTACGCGTGCGGGAATTTGGTCCGGAACCGATCGCGCAGGTCCGTGGCTCTGCGATGGCCGAGGTTCAGCCGTGTATCCTGCTGGATTAGTGTCCATTGGAACCCATGCACCGCATACCCTTTGAGTAGAGCTTCGTCCTCGGCCACGGTGAATGGCCGTCGGGAACGACGCCGGGATTTCATGGCAAAATGCGGCTCCGGGATACCCAGGGACTCCAAGGTCGATTTGGATTTGCTTGTTAGAGTAGGAGTTGCCTTGGCCGTGGAATTCGGCTTAGAGTTGGTGGTCTTCGGAGCGGTCTCCTTGGGGTTCGAGGAGCTGCTGCCGCTACTGCCAGAGGATGGCTCATTCAAGCCAACCGTCACGCTGTTCCCTACCGAGAGGGACTCCGCATTGGCTGGTCGGGGATGCGGCAAGTGAATCTTCCCGGCTGTGCCATCAGAGCCTTCCGTCTCGGCCCGCGAGAGGGCATTGGCCAGAGTGTCGTGCAATTGCCGCGTCGCTTCGTTCGGGTCGGCAGCCCTTGTAGACGATCAGCTTGGAGTCGGTGCTGATTTGCTTTCCACAGAACCGAGGACTTACCGGTAGGCCCAGGGACAGCATACGCGGAACCTAGATTTGTGTTCAGTTGGTGACCTAGATCTCGTCTCCATAGTACAATCCACCTCGAAGCTATGGCTGTTTACCATACCTATCTTTCAAGTTGGAAGCGCTGCGCTTGTTGAACTTCAATTCCGGCTGAGCCAGGATCGCCGTCCAGTTCCCAATGCCGCACTTGACCACCCCACGTAACAGAGCCGTGGTTTCCTCCTCTGTCCACTTGCGAAGGTTCTTACGAGAACGGCCCCGTGTCTTGGGGGATATGGGCTCCTCGTGTTCGTCGGCAGAGGATGACTTCTTGTCGTCCGATTCCCCGTCGTCGGTCTTGTCACATGGCGGCGGCCGATTCGGGACGACCGGGTCGTCTGGTAGTCCGATGACCACAGCGCCACCGCGACCGCTCAGGGCCGTCTTCGTGGCAATGGGAGAGGCCAGAATATCCTCGATCCTGCCCTCTCGTCTTTCGCCTGTCGGACCCTCCCCGAAGGAAGTGGCCAGCGAAGCCGGCTCAACGACCGAGCTGTCCCGGGAGGGTTTAGTCAGCAGCTGCGTAAGGCTCGAGCCGGCTTCGATGGGCGGCAGAAGAGCGGCATTGGGGGGAGGTTCGTTGAGCCCATTGAGGATCGCAAAGGGCCCGAATGGGGGTGGGCGCTGTTCCTTCTGAGCCTGCGGGATGGGCAGCTGCAGATGCTCGGCGAAGGTCTCGGCCTGCACCCCGACGCGGCGCCGCTTGCGGGAATGATGGGAATCATCGTCGAACGATGAATAAGGGAATCGTTCTAGAGCACGGAGATTAACAAAGGCGGGAAGGATGGGCTTGGGCGGCGGGGGCTCGAGGCTAAGGAGCGAATCCACGGAGGGATCAGTCTTCTTCTTCGGCGGCCGCGATGTATGGTTCAGACGCTCCGCGGGAACCGCGGCCACGGAATCATTATTCCGGAGGCCAGGCAGAATGCCCGCCGAGCTAGTGGGCGTGGGAGCAGCGGTAGCCTCGCGGACTCGGCTGGCATTCGGCTCCAGCGGCGAAGGCACGCTCAGCAAGCGCGAGACGGGCTGACGGAGAGGAGCTATGCGGAGACTCTGGAGCTGGGGTAATTCTCGAATCAACGATTCGTCGTATGATCGGGTGAAGGTAGTGTTAGAATCCATGGTCTTCTTCACGGAATCCAGGAGGGTAGCATTCAAACGATGAAAGCAGGGATAAAGATCATCAAAGATGGAACGAGACTCCCCACGTAGCCATGAGCCATTTTGCAGGGTCGTTGACTATTAATCCAGCAAAAGTGGATCGAGAGTAGGGAGTCTTTCTTTTTGGGGGGGAGGGGGGGAGGAGGAAGAGAAATGAAATGGCAAGTTAAGTATGGATGGAGTAGGTAGAAATGATAGCTAGTGACTCGGGAGGTACTCCGTCGCAACTTAGCTATTGTAACTTGCTTGCTGCCGCGGGCGGAGTTGAATCTCGGGGCTATGCTTGGTAGGGGCGAGGGAAGCCACCAGAAGCGCAAAACCGGTTTGCTGAATCAGCAATTCCCAATCGGGTGAAAGACGGAGCACTGCCGGTATATTCTGTACACTCATTGATTGATTATTGACACAAAAATATATTGAATCGGTACAAGCCGTCCATCTGGTGGACTCATCACAATCAGAACCAGACAACACGGCAGTCAGTTTCTTCAAATTCGACAATTCTAACCGTCCACGATGCCTACCATCCTCCCCCCATGGCCCAACCTAATCTTCGGCATCATCGAGCCCATCTCACTGTACGTCCATACATACCTACACCTTAGACCTAGAATATAGCCCATCAAGATGGTCACGCATAAACGAAGCCTAATTTCCCTGAAATCAGCATCGCCGGAGCCCTAAGCCCCCTCATTAACCTCCACGCCTTCATCACCGACCAAATCCCCCACCCCCATCCCCAATCTTTTCCTCTTCCCATCCCCCCCCAAGCCATCTCCCTAGCCTACCAACTCGGCAACCTATACGGCCTGCTCGCCCTGGTGGGGGTGGGGATCCTGCGCACCACGACGGAACCCCCGGTCATCCGGCAGTACCTGCTGGCGCTGCTGGCGGCGGATGTGGGCCACATCGCCGCCACGGGGTGGGGGATGGGGTGGGAGCGGTTCTGCGATGTGCGCGGCTGGAACGCCCTGACCTGGGGCAATGTGGCGGTTACGGCGTTCCTGGGGGTGAATCGCGTCTTGTTTCTGGGCGGGTGGTTGGGGGAGTGTCAGAAACAACAACAACAACAACAACCACCAGTTGGAAAAACTGGGATAAAAGAAAAGAAGAACCGTGGTGGGAAGGTTGCTTGAGCTGGCAGCAGTGGTTTTGGGATTAATGCGGATGGGTAGGGGTTTGATTGCCTTTGTCTGGGTATTTTTGGGCGGGTGGAAGGGGTTGGGTTAATTGTATGTACAATAAGAGATGTAAAGAGTCATCGGAGCAGTAAGGTAGGCGGAAACTACATCTAGAAACTACCTAGTGGATTAGACGACTCCCTCGGTTTCGAATACTTGATCCTTGAGTTTTGTCTGCAGCTAAGGTTGATACTACGGAGGATGGAGTACGGTGGACTCCAGATCTGGTTCTTGAACTTTCGTGTTGTCGGTCTCCACCTCTGTTGTTGTCGAAGCCACGTTGTGCACTTTGAACTTGACATCATCTAGTAACTAGTATGAGACTTAGTAGACCTCGCATGATGTCAATACCGGTAGTTACTCAATCTGGCACTATTATCTGCCCTCTGCAAGCATACGCAACCGGAAAAGCCGCATGACATATGACTGAGGTAAAGAAGAGGACTCGCCCCAAAAGCAGGAATAGATCAGTAATCGCATGAGCCAGAAGCAACAGGGCAGTACGTAGCAGATGCCAAGGGCTAGGGCTGATCCACGGACGGATGCATGGAGGCATGGATGCATGGAGGCATGGATGCATGGATGCATGGATGCATGGATGGAGGCTGCTGGTCCGTACTTCCCCCTTTCCCGGCATAGGCGAGCAATGTCAGTACTCCGTGGTCCCCGGATAGACAAGTTCAGCTGCATATCAAGGCAGATTGCGGAGCACCACTGCATACACTGAAGTGATGTATCGACGCCCACGTAGTTCCACTAGGACTACCACCCATGTCCAGCAGCACCCCTGACACCGAACAGGGTACTCCGTACCGTACATCCGACCGAAGCCAAGATAATCATTTTCTTCATTGGGATCCCACTACGGGCCCATAGATTATGGGGAATAATGAATCTCCCTCTTTTACTCGAACGACCTGTTCCAAAACATCGCCTCGATCACATACGAACCCAATTTGCCGCTGGAGTCATGAACAGCTAAATATCTAGATGCATTAGAAATACAATTCCCGCTCGTAGATAGAACCAAAAGCCCCCGCAAAAGAACTATCTGCAATAACAAGCATATCCGGAAAAAAAAAAAGAAAAAGAAAAAGACTATTAGGAATGGGAGGAAACCAAAAGAAGACAGCCAAACAGGCAGGAATATCGCCCGCCTGCATAACGTCTGTCGCAAGATAGATCGAAGTAAGAAGAAGCAAGCCTCGTCAGGCATGGGTTTCTGGCCTAGGATTATTGTCCTATGAGACGATTGGTCGTAAAACTCGGTTGGCCTGGCACAGCGAAAACGCCGCCGTATTGCATATCATTCCGCTATTGTTGTGTTTGTGTGTTCAGCAGATGGTTGCCCGACAGTCTTCGCTGTTGTTTCTGGAGCGTGCCTGCGCTCGGATTGGTCATGAGCGCAGAGGAGACGGCCGCATGTGCTGGAAGAGCTGCTGCAAGGCCGGTTGGCCATGTTGCTGGTATTCGCGGATATGAGGGACAAGGAAGGGCACGCCCGGGTTGGTGGTAAATGCTTGTCGGTAGGCGACGAAGTTTTCAGAAGGGTCCAACAGAAGCTCGAAGTCGGGAGGGAGCATGAAAGGGGCCGTATGGGTGGAAGGGACACTAGTGGATGTGCTGATGCTGTACTTTCGGAGACCGTCGATGATAGCTGTGAGGGAGTGGTAGTTCCGCACCATCAGTAGAGCCTGATCTCAAGATTAGCCCTCTCCTGGATCTTGCCTCTGATAGAAGATTCTCACCTGTACACATTCCTGGATGTAGCCCACCAATTCGGGAAGCGCTGTACAACACTCCCACACCGCTATACTTAACAGCTCCCATTCTGTGAATACCCGCTTGACCACCGGTCCTGGCTCCACGAAGCTTTTCTGCGAGAGCCCCGTGAGATACCCCTCATCAATATGGGCCATCGTACGGGCAAAGTCCAGCGGCGAGGTCGACGCCGTCAAGTCTTCCAAGAACGCCAAGTTGAGCTTGAAGGGTCGAGTCCAGTTCATGTGCCGCGTATGCACGTATGCCTGCTTGTAACGCACGGCCGAGACGCATAGCACTTTCAGAATAGATTTTAAGCTGGGCGAGATCTCTTTGAACAACTCCTGGATCGGACCGGCGATGAACTCGAAACCTGGGGTCGTGGGACTCGCCACGATCTGCCCGCCTCGAAGAGCACGCAGACAAGCCACCACAGCTCGATGAGCAAAGGGGCTCCGGCTGCGAAGATGCTATCCGCTAATGTCAGCATCTCTTTCAAGCCCTGGTCTGAAGGGACTGTACGAACCTGTTCCACCTCGACATACAGTGTCACTTCCTCCGGAAATGCCTGAAGATGGTGCAGTAAGTGAATATGCAACGCGGTATGCTGTTGCAGGAACCACTCCACTGAGAGGGCTGAGTAGCCCAGCGAGTAACGCACCAGCTCTTCGAAGGGGATCCGGGTGAAATGCAGATGGCTTTCATGGTCGAGGTCTTCGGCAATGCCGATAGCAGTCATGTTCCGGTTCCCTTGCGCAGGAAACCAACTCCACGTTGCCAGCGCAGGGTCTGCCTTCCTGCACCGGCGCAGGATCTCCTCCACCTTCTGGATGTGGGAGAGGTTGTTGATGAAGGCCCTCTCATGGGGCTCGACCAGCTCCGATAAGAAGGCGTCAATGGCACTGGCATTGCGATTCTGGAAGGCGGTTCGAGGGAGACTCTCGTCTCGGAAGAGGCCGAAGCGGATCGCCCGTTTGATCTCTTGGATGTCAAAGGCCCACAACATCGTCATGGCCTCATCTTCCCACCAGCGATATTTCATGTAGAACGGAGGGATCTCCGCCCCGGCACGGAAGAGAGACGGGTAAGCCGGTGGATCAAACATGACCGGCACGCCAGTGGAGGAAGGGGAGTATGTGGACATTGCCCACTGCTGCACCACGGGAAAGTCAGAATGAAGAGGAAAAGAAAGCCAAATTGGTGTCTTGGGAGAAGGGGACGGCGCGGTGTTCAAAAAGTAAAAGTGTCTCCTTTTTACAGTGAGTGGGGGGGGAAAGGTTTGAGTGGGGAGAAAAAGAGAGGAGAGGGGGAAATCGGGGGACAGACAGAGGAAGAGAGAGGCGGAAATAAAGTGGTAGTCGAGAGGTGGTGGTTACAGTTCTGTAAGAAGAAAGACCCCGATAGATAGTAGTAGATGGTGAATCGTACACACCACACGCATTCCCTCACTCAGTCTGATTTAACTCACATGTAAGTTAGCTGCACACCACCTTGACTTCTTCATCTGCTTCTTCTTCTTCTTCTTTTTTTATTCGACCCCAGGGAATTTTTTTCTTTTTCTTGTTTTTCTTTCTTCCCTTTCCCTGGTTTAGTCTCTGTACCACTAAATACTACCCAGACGTATAGACGGAAGCAAGATCTCCGGCAGACGGTTGAACGGCTATGATTCTAGAGCGTCCCGGGTTCAGGCATATGTCCAAAGGACCATCGACGTCAGAGGAGACTTACAGATTGGGTTCAAACCCCACAGGGAGGTCAGTAGTCGATGTGAACAGACACTGATAATAGTGGATGATGGTAGCGCACACGAAAAAGGCCAGAGCAGGAGAGCCAGCAGCAGCACCAGTGGGGAAATGATGGATACTATACCAGGAACCGACAATGGGGGAACACTGACTCCTGATAAGAGGAAAAGAAAGAAAGAAAAAAGCTTTTATTACATTCACACCATCACTCTAGTGATACTAAGCTTAAGGTAAAAGTCATAGCAACCTCCACTTTTTTCGCCCCGAGGTTTCTGAAGAGGATGGGTCAATGTCCAGCCGCGAACTGCTCATTCCTCACTTTGCCACGTTTGACAACTCACGAGGGTTCTGAACGGTATCTTGCTGCTTGACGCGGTCGAACGGCCAAAAAGGATGGCGGCAAGTGGCGCATTACACACAAGAGACATGATTTTGAATGATCAAATCAACTTGGAACCTGTAAGATAAAAATCCAAGAATCCCTGGCAGGAGACGGTAAGTACTGCATTAAATTAGATCCTAATCAAGAGAGTACTCAATAGAAAATGGCTGGCGCTGATCCGAACCACTGGGACCCGGGAGCCAGGTTAGGCTGACGCTACGGAGATTACCTCAACACCCACAAGCTGAAGGCGTGAAATAGACCTCGTCTAGCTGACTTTCCCAGGCCAATCAGTCCAGGTCGCCGCCAGAATCGTCTCCAACCACACTACCGCCGGTCAGGTAGCGCGTGCGACCTGGGATAAGGCCGTTAGATCTTGGGGAGGGCGTCTATTCTATCTAGTCTAGGGGCGGTTGCGACGACGCAACAACCCCCACATGGGCTGAAGACAATCAGCAGAGCAGATGAGAATCGAAACGGCCATCGAGCGAAGACCAGTCCGTTTGGCAATAGCACCACTGATAATACCAGCCATTGATGAATGGCTGTCAGCCAACGGCGGTGGTGGATCAATAGGTCGCATATGGGGTAAAGGGAAAAAAAAACCAACCAGGATAAAGGAAAATGGCAGGAGAAGCGGTCAGGAGCCGGGATGGAACATCTGGCCATGCATTAGTCGTTGGGTTCTGGAAGATTCACCCAAGACTCCATTCATGAGGGTAAACGGGCAAGAGCGAAAGTATGTGTGAGCAAGAAAGAATGAATGAATGAAAGCATCACCTTCATCACTGTAGCGGTGTATCGAGAGAAGAATAATGAGGTCAAATATACATCAGGCCGAGATCGTGAGGCGAAGTCATTCAGCCGGCCCCGGGCGGCCTCCCCTCTAAGAGGCTGCTTCAGACTTCAGCAGACGCCAGGAACGGGGCTGAACCCATCGTCTCGTCCGTCATGCTGATGCCGGTGATAGTCGATGATCCTATAAGGCACCATCTCTCGGGAAGACCCAGATGGGAGCTGTACGAATCCACCTTTAGTTGCCACCATATGGAGAGTCGGTAGCAAGGGCCAAGGCAAATGCTGGATCGGGGAGGGGGGGGGAAGGAATTAAGTGGCTAGCAGTGGCTAGCGACTAGGCTGTACTACTGCGGGCCCTAACTTAGTCGGGCTTGTTGTTCCTTGTTGCTTTCTTCAACTCTCAAGGCCGTTTGAACGAATGGTGAGGAGGCCCAGCAACGAGGGTATAGCTTTATACCCATAACGAGCTGATGATCGCGGAGAAGACAAGCCGAATCATGGCCTCCAGCAGTGTCAAGTGCCCTTTACCACTCCAGCTGGCAGACTGGGGCAAAAGTTGAAACTACCGGTAGTCAGTTGCATAATAAACGGCCCTAGGGAATTTCCACAGCTGAGGTGAGCCATCCATTTCATCTTCTTGTCCTTGTTCGGGTTCGATGCTTCGATGTGGGTGTCTGGATAAATCAGGGTACCTTCAATGTGTTGCATTCAGCACTCTCGGTGCCTGCCAAAGGCGTAAGAGGGATTGGTGTGACCGCGACTTTTGACGACTTCCACGAATCGGGCAGAAGCAGCTCAGAGTACGGAGTACTCCGCTGTACGGAGTACATAGTATGTAAACAGTCGGAGAAACAGTAAGGTAAGTTCACTAATGTACATAGAGTACAGAAAAAAGTACTGTACCTAGTGAACTAATGGAATGAGTGGGTGGAAAGAAAAGGCGGAGCATGGCGTGGACGGGACTATCATCGACAAAAGCCCAGAGGAACAGAACTTAGCAAGTGAACATTGTATCGAGCCAATCACTCTAGGGATGGTGTACCGAAGGAGCTCGTGGCTGTTGGCGACCGTCGACGTAACGGCAAAGACATGCGGTGATCCACCCGAGCGTGAGTTGAGTACGAGTAGAGTAAAAAGAGACCAATGCACGACTAAAAGCTTCTCAGACAAGAAAATGTTATGGAGTTGAGGTGTACACAGTATGTTGATGAATCACCCAAAGAAATAAGAAAAAAAAACAATAATAACTAACGAATAGTAATGCATCTCCACGGTGGGTGGGATTTTCTGATGGTGTGGCGCAGGGGAAGAATTGAATCCAGTTACGGAGAAGAAAGAAGAGATTGAGAGAGACTATGAAAGTGATTACAGATTACATGTATGTAACTACTGTGGTTACTTACTCCGTAGTGGAAAGGAAAGATCAAGTGCCGTGCCGCGGGCGGGAGGCCCGTCAACTCAGAAACCCTGGTCCCAATGGAATCAGAATGCATCGATGCGATGTATCCATTTGCAATTGTCGCTTGGACCCTCCACCTCAATCCTTTTTTTTTCTTTTGACTCCACCCCCTCACCCTCCTCCCCTCTGCTCTCCTCTTCTCATTCCTCCTTCTTATCCCGGGAAAACTCTACTATCAGCCTTCCGAGTCCTTATGCTGCAACTGGGTGCAGCTTGCAGCCTGCAGAATACCTGCCTCCCTCCCTCTCCCTTACCTAGTTACTTGACCTAGGTCGTCATATCGTCCCGCTCTCTCTCTATCAGCCCACGTCGTGCCATTGATAGAGATTGAGGAGCTCTCAGTGAACGGAATTACTATCCGAGGTCGGACTGATATCAGAAGTCGGTCACTGCCATCCCAATTGGTACAGTAACTTCTGTCGCCAAGATGCCCGACCGATTGAACGAGAGAGAGAAACGAGAGAGGGAATTGAAAGAAGGTACTCAATTAAGAAATAGAAAAATGAAAATCAAAACAAGGAAAATAAGGAAAGGAACGGCTTTCATCAGCGAGGGAACTCCGGGGGCGAGACAAGACCCTCTCTCTCTCTCTCCATCTCTATGTACTGAGTTTGGTCTAAATTCGTAGCGGGGACAGGCGTAAAGTGATGCTGTCCAGATTCCTGACTGTGTGACCATTAACATGGTCGAATTCGACCACTAGCATCCGTAGTGACCATGCCTGCAGCAACCAGGCGGGCTGTGTCTCTGGAGCTGTTCACCCTGGAGAAGGTCTGATAGAGATCAAGGATGGTGACCAAGCCGGCTGATAGTCTACTAGGTAGTCTGGGGTATTTTGTTGAGTCCAGACTCTGAAGACCGGGAAGCCATGGTGGGTGAATGGGTGCATGGCTACAAGCATGAAAGCTACGGGAACAACGGCGGTTGGAAGAGCAATCATAATGCTCTTGAATCTCATCGGAGTCTTCTGGTGGAATGCGAGCCATCGTCACTTGCGGGAAGGAACAACGGCTGTCGAGAACCTCTTCCACGGATCTAATCCGTAGTTTACAATCAAAACAGAAAAAGCAAAAATAGCAAAAAAAAAAAAAGCAAAAAAAGCAAAAAAGAGATCGATCATGTTCATGATGCCCTTTTTATCCTCCCATGGCTAAGCACGAGAATAGATAACTAAGTTAAGTCAGACAGAGCGCGCGAGAGGGGAAGACAGCCAGCGACTCTGCCGAAGTAATGACCTTTGTTCGGATCCTGGGCTTGCGCAGTCAACCCAGATTGGTCCATCGCCTGCAGCATGCATGACACCTGACTCGGAGTTAAAGTGTGGTGGTGGTGGTGGTGATGGTGCGTGGGTATGTGCGTGTTGAAGCGTGTGAAGGGGGTCAAGATCAGTGACAGTGGCTTACGATTAAACACCACCCCGCCAACCCTGAGTGGTAGATATAAATTCTTTGTACTCATCTGCCAAACAAGCAGATGAAATGCTGAGTAACTTCTCCGCAATCGGGGCCTCTCGGGGCCTCTCCGCAACCAAGTTGGCAGGGCCTGCCAGCCCCCTTTTTCAACCAACCAATGTAGTAGCACAAGCTGGGTGCACGCTGACTTAACGGCGGTGGTGAGTCGTCTTCGGTTCGCTCATTCGGACGACTCCTGTCGGTATCCTGCCCAGGCCGGGCAGACGGGCCAGTAGAGAGGCAACCTCGATGGCGCGCCCCAAGAAGAGGGAAAGCATGCAAGAGGGGAAAGCAATAATGAAAACTTCCAGGAAAAAACATCCAGCCAAGCTGACAAGCCCTAGAAACCGATCTCACCAGCGAAAGGCAATAAGGTCTGAGCGAGTGATCGTAATCGTCATTTTCCCGATCGATTCCGAGCGCCAGTGCTGACCTGATCTCCCACAATATCGGGGCAACAATTATTGAAACCTGGATGACTGACACGGCTGCGTCTGGCTAATATCAATCACAATTGGTGCTCCAGAACCGGGCGAAGATCAACTAACAAGAATGACTTGTCATTTGACCGAAAGACGTCTGAACCCAACAGGTGTTCGAGGCTGCGTGGTCGGTGCTCAATGAGTCTCATGTTTCGTACGCCATAAGACCGAAAATCGGCCTAAACGGACGAAGGAAGGAGAACAGCAGGAAGCCGGGATAGAGAGAAATAATTGACCGGTCCCAAATTTCCTGGACAAGAGACAAGGATTATTGAATGGTCTGGAAGTAAGTTACTACCTACTACCGTGGTAGCAGCTGTAGCCGCTGTAGCAGCTGTAGCCGGGGTCTCTTAGGCTCGATCCTCTTGCAGTCCCCCTCATGGGTGCATTAGAGAGCCAGAAGGGAATTGGAGGGAAGACGGAGGATCTATATCGGCATGCAGATGGGGGAAGTAGACGTGTTATCTCTCACCTGTATGGTCCATGGGTGGGTGGAGCGGCTTACTTCGGGGGAGAAGGGGGGGCACTTACAACTTTGCAAAGTATGCGGAGGAATTTTCCTTGATGACAAAACCGCTTCGTTGGTCTAGCAGATATAGCGACCTCTACAGGTCGAACGGGCGTCGAATGGGCGCATGTGAGATCGGAGTCAGTGAGTCAGTTGCCTCTTTCATTTATTCCGAGGCCCCGTTCTTGGTAAAGCCTATGCGATGTTTAGTGTTTAGTGCTTAGATATGGGCGGTAACCTGGACTTTCGGCCTCCCCCATCGTGCGCCAAAGGAAGTTTCTTTGAGAAATACGTGGTAGGATTTGTACGATGACGCCTGCCCTGTTCGCCAAATTGGGGAAGAAAATCGATGGAAGGGCGTTGCATCCACTCTCACTAGCTTAAGCCATGTATCCATCGGCCCGGTTGGAACTTGCTGGGAGGCGGGGGAGGGACTTCTCCATAGGACTCCAATGCTCCATGGAGTGAGTGGAAATGGATGTCTCAAAAGAGGAGACTTCCTCTGATTGATTGATTGCACTAGTCAGAAGGGGACGGCCCGGCGGATGAGTGGACTTTCTTGGGAATGGGGCCGCAATTCAAGGTTCCGACCAGCAAGGGACTGGTGATTGATCCATTAAGCTATCCCGGCGAGTTGAGTCCATCCCGGGTGGGTTGGATTGCCAATCTGGGTCGGGGGAGGTAAGACGGCGGACTACGAGACTTGGGGATCTCCGCCATCTGCAGCATGAAGTAAGAATACGACTAACTGAAAGGACAAGAAGCACTAGAAGAATGCCTTGGTTTGCATCTATGGTACGTATAAGCCTACAGGATGTGGTGGGCATGGACACGCCCAATGTAGAATATCCAGTGGACAGAACTTTCTCTTTTTTTGATTCTGAATAACGCTTCATATTATCGTAACCGGCGTCATACAGGCCCACAAAGCAAGACAAGACGTCGTCTCCCCAGCGGAATTTTTCAAAGCTTTTTGATTTGCTGTATCCTACGACACTTACCGAACTACATCTAGTTGGCGATGGCGTAGGCACGGCGGCGGTCACGCTCCTCAGCAATGGAGAGCTAAAAGAGAATCGGTCAGTCTCAATTGACATGCATGCCGGAATGCTGGAAAAGCAACGTACCTTGACACCCTTGCCCTTGGGGAGGGAGATCCAGGGCTTGTCCTGGCCAATGACGAAAACGTTGGACTCGCGGGTAGCGAAGGTGTTGTCAATGGCGTCCTTGATGTGGACGATGTTGAAACCTCCGTCGTGGCGCTCACGGTGGGTGACGACACCAACACGACCCATGTTACGACCACCGGTAACCATGCAGACAACACCGGTGTCGAAGCGGACGAAGTCAGCGATCTTGCCAGTGGTGATGTCAACCTTGACGGTGTCGTTGACCTTGATGGCGGGGTCGGGGTAGCGGATGCTGTGACAAGCCTTGTTAGCATGAATGTTCAATCCATATGGCCTCTTACGATGTTCCCGTAAAGAAACCGTCGTTCCGGTTCTTTCGTCCTCCGCCGATCAACCAAAGCTTGGTCCAACGACTGAATGACACGGAACTTGTAGAGAGCATGCACTCACGTTCTCGCATCGTGCGTAACCAAGAATGGGATCCCGCCCTTGCCAAGCTGAACACGCTTAACCTTGCAGAGCTTGTACTCAGCCTCCTCAGCCTGGATGCGGTGGACGGTGAAGCGACCCTTGGTGTCGTAGATCAGGCGGAAGTTCTCGCCAGTCTTCTCGATGCCGATGACGTCCATGAAGCCAGCAGGGTAGGTAGGGTCGGTGCGGACCTTGCCGTCGACCTTGATCAGACGCTGCATCATGATGGCCTTGGTCTCGCGGCCGTTCAAGGCGTACTTGAGACTATATTCGCTGTTAGCCGCTGTTCCTCCGGGCGGGTCGAAGATCGCGTCGTGTCGCTCGAGGGTTCGTACCGGTTGCGGATGAAGACAATCAGGGGCAGGCAGTCACGGAGCTTGTGGGGACCGGGGGAGGCCTTGGGAGCATAGGTTCCGGACATCTTGTCCAGGAGCCAGTGCGAAGGCGCGCTAAGGCGCTTCTGGTGCTTCTTACTGCAGGATCAATAGAGTCAGCTCTTCCATCCTCACTTCCAAATTGAATTTGCAACCATCTGCTCCTGCGACTCAAAAGTCTCGAAAAAATCACCGAACATGGTCGCAGTCGCAAAAGTCACAATTCGTGTGGTGAGGCTCAGGACTTACGGTCCGCGAGGCATCTTGGCTGCTTTGTCGACTTGAACCGGTTAAGTTGTCGAAGTGTCGCGAAAGAGAGAAGACGGTCGGGGCAGGGGACTTCAGCTGCTGATATCCAGGGCACTCTCAATTTTCGCTTAGCGTCCGGTGCTGGCGGGTTGAGCCCTAACCCCGTTGAAATTGGGTTCATTCTACGCTAAGCTGATAGAAGACTAGCTTGGACCGGCCCTGCTCATTATGTAATACTGCAAGTGGGTCACTCAGCTTTCACGTGTCAAGACATCTACTTACTTCGGTCGTCACTTTATTGACACCGACCGCTAAGTTCTCAAGCTGCTTATCAGAGAAAGAAGCTGACTCAAGTCTCTATATACATTTTTATTATCTAGGATGTCTAGATGTAACCCTTAATCACGGCAACCTCAGCATTGAGGATAGACGATCCCGCAGCGCCCAGAACGGTGTTGTGCGACAAGGCAGCAAATCGGATATCGAAATAGCCACCTTCTTGACCCTCACGGACTCGTCCGACACTAACGGTGTATCCCTTGTGGATATCGCGGTCGAGTCTGGGTTGGGGCCGATCGGGTTCGTCGAAAACCTTGATAGCCTCTGCAGGAGCCGAGGGGGCACCCAACTTCTGCGCCTCGGACTGATATTCTCTCATCGCCTGAACCACCTGCTCTGCGCTGGGCGCCGGGCGGTTCTTGAAGCGCAGAGAAACGAATGCCATGTGGCCATCAGTGACTCCAACACGAGTGCAAGTCGCGCCGACTCTGAGGCCGGCTTGCTCTTCGAAACCGGTAGCATCAGCATTCAGAGAACCCAGAATCTTCTGCGCCTCATTCTCGAGCTTGTCCTCCTCGCCGCTGATGAACGGAATGACATTGTCCAGAATGTCCATGCTGGGAACACCAGGGTAACCGGCTCCGGACAGAGCTTGCTCAGTAAAGACTTCCACTTCGACAACAGGACCGAACTTGGCCTGGAGCGCGGCGAATGGGATGACGATGCCGATGACGGCGCAGTTAGAATTGCAGACCAGGAAGCCCTTCTTTAGGCCAAAGTGTTTTCTCTGGTGAGGGATGAGGTCGAAGTGGTGAGGGTTGACAGTAGGGACAATGAGCGGGACCAGGGGATGCTTGCGGTAGTTCTTAGCATTGGAGAAAACGGGGATATCGGCCTTGATAAATTCCATTTCTACGACGCATTTGGTCAATAGGTTTCCGGAGATGTTGCGTGAATAGCCTCTTACCGAGATCGCCCGCCACATCACTATTGAGTCCAGAGAAGACCAAGTCGCAGTCGGCGAACTGCTCGGCCTTGCAATCACGAAGGACAAGGTTGCTGAGCTTCTCGGACATGGCCGTAGTCTGCTTCCATCTCACAGCATCCTTGTAGGCCTTTCCAGCGGAGCGCTCCGAGGCACCGACGGCGTGCAGTTCCAGGAAAGGGTGGTCGGCAAGCAGGAGGATGAATCGTTGGCCAACCGAGCCAGTGGCTCCGAGGACACCTGCCCTGAATCAGTACAAACTTTCTCTTTAAATACATTCCCTGTCCAAGGCCTCCTTACCGCACTTCTTCTTAGGATATGAGGCCATTATGCGAGTCTGTACTATTGATCCTGATGCTGTCAGTTACATGGGTTCATGTGAGATCGCGATTTTGTAGATGATTCCAATGGAAAACAGCACAAAAGATCCGGAAATAGGACTGAGTCATTCAAAGCTCGCAGCAAACCAGTCGAGCAGATCAAGTCGAAAGCGATACCCCACTCATGGAAGGTCTCACTGAACTTAATCAGGGACTGGTCGTGAATGCTGGAGATTGGTTTTGTTGAAGCAATCACATCTCAAAACATCAATTGAACAAAAGCACAAATAGTACTTACCTCCTGACACTTGGGATAGAGACTAGAGAGAGTGAGAAGTCCGTGGCGTTGGAGCGGGACACTGCGATATCGCTCCGGAGCCATTTGCCCCGCGGTGAGTCAGCCCTGCTTAGTCACTGCACTCGGGCATGGTTCTCTCGATTTATTGGCTAGAGTGTTTTGTTCCTGAACGGTCCTTACTAAAACGGCCGATGACGAAAATGCTCAAGGAGCACGGAGTAGGTAAGCAGGAATAGAGACGGGAATCTATATATTCTACCGTTCCATCTACTCGAGTAGATAAACCTGACTAAGCAGTAGTCTAAGGTCATGTTATAGTCACTCAATTTTTCGAAATGGCCCCTTGTACCAGTACATCTGAGAATAATTCAAATTGCAATGGAGACTCTTTCATATGAAAATGCACTCTATGCCCTACGTTCATAATCAAAGATCTTCCCTGGGTTGAGTAACCAATGGGGATCGAGTGATTGCTTGATAGAGCGCATAACATCTATCGTGTCCGGACCAAGTTCCTTCTTCAAGGAACTCTTCTTGCCCAGACCAACACCATGTTCGCCCTATTCAATAGTCAGCCATATGTGCATCGAACGGACAACGGGGGTGGGGGGTGTATCGTACAGTGCATGAACCCTCCATCTCCAGGGCCCGATCGACCATATCGTACACGACCTTCTCCACTCGCTCCAGCTCCTTGGGATCGCCGCGGTCGTACAAGATACTTGCGTGAAAATTCCCATCACCGATGTGCCCGAGAATGCTGGCAAACAGGCCAAGATTGTCTAGTTCCTTCTTGGAAATTTCTGGTCCCAGATTAGCAAAGCCCAGGCGCACTTGCATAAATAGGTCTTACCGATGATATCTGGCAGTCTGGAGATGGGCACCGAAACGTCTGTAGACCATACCTCAGATCCTTTTTCCCTTAGCGACAGCATACTCCACAGTGATTGCTTCCGCGCAGACCACAGGTCATGAGCTTCACGCTCGTCTCGTGCAAATTCAAAGGAGCTGGCATTGTTCCCTTTGGCTAACTTGGTGGTTAAGTTGATGCTGTCAGCGACCCCTGCCTTCGTGCCAGAAAACTTGAAGAACAGTGTGGGCAACGTCTTCCACGTGCGTCCGGTGCCACCGGCCCGGTTGATGACGTCCATCTGGACCTCGTCCAAGATTTCCACGCACTGTACCAGGATACCTTGTCGAATAAGCTGCATAGCGGTCGACGCAGCATCGCGCACGGTCGGGAAGGTCACGACGCCAACTCGTGTTTGCTCTGGGATAGGAGCTAATTTGAGAGTAGCCTCAGTCACAATACCAAGTGTCCCCTCGGAACCTACGAACAGTCCCGTCAAATTATACCCTGCCGATGTTTTGCGTGGACGGCGACGTGTCTTGATAATTCGGCCGTCGGCCAGGACAACTGTGAGGTTGATGACCCAGTCTTTCATAGTTCCATATCTCACAGCATTTGTTCCACTGCAATTCGTGCCAACCATCCCACCAATCATTGCAGATGGGCCGGGGTCAACCGGGAAGAAGAGGCCGCTGTCCTTGATCTTCTCGTTGAGATCCATCCATTGGATTGAGGGCTGCACCACAACGTCCATGTCGGATTCATGCAACTCGAGAATCTTGTTCATCGAAGCGAAGTCTATAGTCAAGCCTCCGTGCGGGGCAGAGAAATTGGCCTCGAGACTGGAACCGCCGGAATAAGGAACCATTGGCATCCGATATTTGTGGCATATCTGAGCGATTTTGGAGACGTCCTCAGTGTTATTCGGGTACGCGATCGCGACCGGTAGACGGTCTGCATTGACACTGGACCATTCTGAGAATCCATGGCGTTGAAGATCGTCCTCGTCCGTGCTGATTGCATCCTCGCCTAGGACGACTCGCAGTTCTGCAATGGCCTAGTTTGCCGACTCGATCAGTTACATGTATCTTGCAGTGTGCTGGTGAAATTATTAGGATAGCTGCTTACCTTTGTAAAGTCCTTCCCTGACCCGTACTGAGGCTGGCTTGATTGTGCCTTCTTAGAAGTGACTGCATATGCGTAACCGGCCCCGGCAGCCAATGCGGAGAATAGAAGAGTGTTGCCCAAGGAGCCAAAACCCGAAGGCTTGCTGTCACTTGATGAATCCGAGTCCCCATTCTTGCTCGAGTTATTCTCGAGTCTGGTAGGACTCACGTCACTTCGCGAGCGGACTGTTCTGTGGTGTGTAAGAGGAGTCGGTGGGCGACAGTGGGCGGCCACCCTCGTGCGGGGAGATGCGGGGAAGACCCGAGGCAATTGAACGAGAGCCCGCATTAGGCACAGTATAAATTGAGGATTGACAGAAAAACCAAAGACGGACCTGAAGGGAAGGGAATCAAGAGCAATCAATTATGGACGCAATGACTTCGCAAAGCAGGAAGAGAGATCTTTTCGAAGAAACTGGTTTTCTTTTGGGGGTGCCCTAGCTTCGTGCATCTGCGAGCCAGCCCGGTTAACGCCATCGGAGCTAATAATGAGGACTGGCAAAGATCGGAAATCGGCCGAGAATGATACAGAAAATCAAGATAAGAAGAGCCGAGGGCAAATGAAAAAGCTGTTGGAGATGAGAAGCACACACCCGTCCGGCACTCGCATTTCCCCTCATCTTGGTTTCAAAAGATCCTAGGGTCAGCGTTGGGGAATCGGGGTTGCTCGACTTCGGTCAGAACCCCGACTGCTGTGCCTGCCAAGGGGCTCAACAACATGGGACTCTGGTTCAAGGGACTGGATCTGACGATTGGTCAGATGATGTATTATCTCGAGGAGATAGGCTTGGTCTTGTGGTTTTCGATTTTCTTCCTCAATTGATCCTTATCTTGTTTTCCAAGAGCTCTCTCTTGTAAGTTAGTATTCTAGAAGAGGATGGTAAGTTACAGTACAATAGTGTACAGTATAATTGCCAGGCGGAGTGGCTTCCGCCTTATTGTCGGGGCAACCGGCTGCATCTTATCTTTTCTTCCCCCGCCATTTGACCAGAGTTGTTGATGGATGTCCCAAGGCAATAACTAAGGCCTCGTTTCGACTTCCAAGCAAGCGTGGAAGACTCTGTTGGAGTGTCAGGCCTGCCAGCTATGGCTGAGCAAATTACGAGCATTCAACTTGGGCGCGAAGTGGAGCGCCTTGTTACGGCCCCATATGCACCTTCGCTACAGGTAAACCCCGCAACTCCACGCTGCTAATCTATATCAATCCTAGACCAGTAGCTGACCTATACTGAGCACCCAGGACCTATATGGATTGATCCAGGATGCATCACCTGCTTCTATCAGACATTGGGCGTTCTGTAAACCATGCCAGGTTGGGGCTCTCGTAGACCTTCTCGTTGAAGGTCTATCTCGGTCCCGCTTTGCTTTATCTTTGCTTAATGCATTCAGTAGGTATACCCGGGTTGCAGAGTTTCTGAGAATGGAAGACCTGATGATCGCAGTGCCCGTCGTTTCTTTTCGTGACTTCTTACTTCAGCGATACCCTTATCTTCTAGACCAATTCCTTGAAAGGTCTACGACAGAGGAGGGTTTCGAGGTTGGTACCTCTAATCACGACTTTCTATGCCCATCTCCTCAGCCATCTGCGATGCTCAAGACCGAGCAACATGATAGATTAGCCAAAAGCTAATAAGCGCAGTATGCTTCTCTATGCATTGCAATTCTGTCCTCCCCTCTGCCACCGGACTTCCTTGTCCCAGCGCGTTTGACACCGTTCCTCTCATCGGTAATCCGTCAATTATCAGAGAATCCGTGCTCGGAGACTATTTTGCCCCTGCACCGTATCTCAACTGGCCTACGAACGTCTCCCAGAGTTTTACTCGAGATTTCCACCGAGATCATGTCGAGCATCCAGGTTGAGCTCACAAAAACATTACGCAACCTCGCTGACCACATGGGCAATCTTCTTTCTCTCGCAACCTTGGCCAACCTTGCATCACTGCAGGGGAGATTATCGAATCAAGAATCTCGGTCATCTACTCCGCAGTGGTTGCAAAGTGTTAGCCATTTCTTTGGGCCCAAGCGCGGGCTCAAGACAATGGATCTTGTAGTCCTGAGAGTGATCCTTGCTTGCTCTGATTCATGCAGTGAACTGACGCCAGTACAAGCTGCTGAAAGTATTTGCTTAGCTATTCAGATTTGTGATAGGGTCGAACCTGAGCAGAAGGCAGCATGGAATGCAGCAAATCCATCCAAGATCGCCAAATTGCAAGAGAAAGTGATGAGGAGTGGCATTGATCGTGGCGTACAAATACTGGTAGGTCAGGGCCTCTTTTGATCATGAACTCAAGCACTTAACATGCGATAGGGTGCTACCTTCCTCGTTTCTATTCTTCCAAAAGCGGCACTGACCCCCGAAATACCTCGACTTGCTCTCGACTGGGCCTTGTCAGAAACTAGTCCCGTTGTGTTGAGCGTGCTTCCCCTCGAGTATATGCAACGACTAGCGATTGCAAATGCCGTAGGTAATACATAACGGCACACAGAAAGGATGCTAATACGCTCTAGGCTTGTTCGGAAGAGTCCGCAGTACGGAAGATCCTTGACTATGCTTTCTCGACGCTACAAATATCACGTCCGAGCAATCCATCGGACTTGCAGAGTCTAGAGATAGCGAGGTCACTCGTCACAGGCTTACAGAACGCAGACGCGAAACTATTCGCCACCTGCATCTCGGAGACAATCCTGCGCGAATGCAGCAAGTCGATGAGTCGCCCCCTCGAAAGTTTCCCAAGAGCTCCATCTTCAACACACTGTCATGAGTCCAGTATATGCTACGACTTACATTCGCAGCTGCAGAACGAGCTAGTTTGTGACCTGTTTGCTTGCAACCTGTACGCGTCGCTGTCCCACAAATCGGACGCCAGCGGACTGTACCCTGCCGAAGTCGGTACTTTGCGGCTGTTCACTGAAAAGTCCAAGCAGTTCCTGTGCAGGCGTAGATGCACAATCCCAGAAATAAAGC